ACGAAGCATCCTTATGTATCGAGTAGGAACACCCTGGTTGCACAGGGTTCCATTACCGCTTCTGTCTCAACGGTGTCAAAGGCTTTCTTCAAATCGATAAACGTAAGACATAACGACATTTTGTACTCTCGCGATACGATACTTCAATCAGCCTCGTCAATGTGTGGATATGATCAATTGTGCTGAACCCTCTCCGAAACCCTGCTTGCTCGCATGGCTCTCCCTCATCTAATATTCTGCCGATCCTGTTGAGGATGACACGCGTGAAAAGCTTGTAGATCACAGACAGCAGGCCGATTGGGCGATAATTGTCAATATCGTCTGGATCTCCCTTTTTATACAGCAACACAGTCTTGCTAGTTTCCACGACGTTAGCACCTTGCATTCCGACAGCTACCGTGTAAAGAGCCTTGCCAGAGTTTTGATGATAACAGGTGGGATACTCTTCAGATGTTCGGGTTTGATCCTATACGGCGCTGTACAATTCTTCATCGACGTGACGGCATGTCGTATTTCGGAAAAGAGAACCGAAGGAGCGATATATTCGTCTCACCTAAGATGGTGGGTAGGCAGGTAGACGTGGCTGTCGAAGAAATCTGAATAGAAGTCGTAGATGACCTTTTCCACTGCCCTTCAAGATGCAGTAACGGTTCCGTCAGGGCGACGAAGGGAAGTCATCTTGGTCTTGCAGTTGGCGAAGCTCAATCGGGCTTTGCGAATGCTCCTTACGGCCTCGGCCGCTTCGTCCATGACTGCTGCTCTTCTCTCTTTTAGATCTTGCTAAATCGCTTCTCTTCATAGCTTCGCAAGTTTGGACGTTTGCTGGTTATTGCCTGCAGCTCACACGATTCCACGCTGGCGTATCAGCTCGAGAGTCTTCGGACCCATACGGGTCCTTGATGCAGCCCATGCCGTACATTTAATGAGATGTGGAGGATATCAGGAAAGCCCTTCTTCTTTTCGTTGATTAACTGATCAACCGTAATCCAACCTTTACCACGGCGGCATACATACATGTACCCATTATCCAAACCTTGGCCATTATAGTTTTGGTCCAGTTATAATGCTTCAAATTCATCGATGCAGGAGCGCAATTATTTTGGTACAGGTTGATATCTAAGCATTGGTTTCGTCAAAGAGAATCTGATGGTCTGAAGCTCAGCTTATCAGCTCCATTATATGACGCCACCGATGTTACCATTTGTAATCGTAATATTCAAATTAGGATATGTAGTTGTTGGTTCTCTCACTCGAATGGGATTTTGAGATGAAATACGTATTTATCGATTGAAGGAAAAGCCCTTCAGTATTTGACTCGGTTTGGTTATACATTTTTAATAGTCGTCCACGAATTGCATAGGAGTGGTGTGATGCGATTCACGTGTCAATGTAATGAATTCATCGGACGAGACGCGTTGTAACATCATGCCTATCATCGTAATGGAAGAAATAACAACTTAGAAAANAAAACATAAGTAAAGAAAAATGACGAAATATGCACGTTTATGAAGAAGTGAGTTTTCTAGGATTCAAAAACTTGAAGTTATTCTTATTTTGATTATTTGACAAGTAAATTGTTGGCCTATGAAGTGAATTTCTAATCTCAAATGGGCTTCATTGCCATAGTAAAGGAATCTGCTCTAATTCATGGTGAAGCCGTAAACTACTGCGAATCTTATTTGGTCCACCACAACAGAAGAGTACTGAAGCGATGCTGCGTGCGCGAAGAACTCTAAATGGTGTCCTGCGTGAATCGCGCATCCCCGGCATAGGATAAACTGCTCGATTCCGTTGAACTTGTGCTCTTAGCGTGATTACACTATTCTACTAAGAGATTCGAATCTCTCGAAGGAGGACCAAAGTTGTCCTACCATTAGAGAACAATATTGAAGAACAATTTTACCTGCTTGTTAATATTGATTCCAAGTTTGCAAAAGTTATGAAAGCTGTAGCCATCAATGCCATAGCGTTTACAGTTACTTCTAATCTTTGCTCCAGCAGAGCAGTAAAGATGACATTTTAGTACGTATCCTATCTCATCACGAACACTATTGAAGGAAATATTTAGGTTTAGATTGAGTTCAATACGTTCGCGAAAGGCACGCATGAACAAGTGGCGTTAATAACTGAAAAAAACAGACACCAAGCGAATGGAAAATTGTCATTCAACGTCCCCTAGATCGAAAGCATAGATAAGAATAAATGACTATATTTAATGATCACTTTCATCAAATACTAGGATTCCATCATACCCAAACGAAAGAATTGCCCCACGATGTTTGAAATGAGCAAGTGATAGAGTAGTTGGTGCGTTCTTATTTAAATTCACCCTGAAGGGGAAAATTCTGGCACGGTATGTTCCAGAGCTTGTGAGCGAGATCTTCATGAATCTCCCTCCAGTACTTGAACTTGTCATCCGAAGAATATTGAACCGCCGGACCGAAACGAGCACCTTGCCATCTTATGGACCATGCAAAGATCAAAAATTTAGATTTTCAGTGCGGGTAACTTCAGACACCTATTAATGATAGAGTCCCTCAGCATCTTGGAGAACAGGAGTT